TGCATCCTCTGCACACGGCCATAAACAACCAGAGGAGTCTGTCAGTGACAGGTTGCTTCTCCCAAAGTCAAAGACCAGCAGACTTTTGTCCCACACGCCATCAGACTGTTTAACTGCTCGCTGGAGGGGAGAGGGAGGGCAAACGGGGACAAAGGAGGGGGGAACAAGTAGCTGTAGTGCCTTTTCACTGTGCAATAGTTTTTAATAACCAACGGTGTAATAGACTCACAATAATGTGCCGTTCCCTTGTATTCTTATTCCTATTTATTCTATTTATCCCTTTTGTATTCTCTGTATTTATATATGTGTATATGTGGTATATTTCTGCTCACATTCTGCAACTTCTGTCGGTGCTGTGCTACTGGAAACTGGATTTCCCGGAGAAACCCACCCGAGTGATAAATAAAGTTCCATCTAATCTAATGTAATCAGTGCAGGGCTTTGTATCTACCACTCTGCTGTGATATAACGAGCGGTCACGGTAACGTGGCTTTCCGTTGCCCTGGAGCTCCACCCATTTGTAGTTAGAGCAACAGAAGATGCCTGGGACAGTTCAGCCATGACTTTAAACTGCTCCTGCTCATACATGCTTTGAACCATCTTGTCACACTGAAGTGGACGCACAACGAGATATCATAGCGTGGCTCAAGCACGTTCATCACAGTTTAAACCCCTTGTATTGCACAACAGAATACGGCCTCCCGTCTGCAGCTAAACACCCCGATAGCTTTAGTAATAGCTTTAACCCGGTCGGATCGGGCAGCAAAAGGCTGCTTAAATGCCGCAAACTCCTCTGCTCCACCACTTGGACCGCTGCTGACCTTAACTATCGCTTGACAGACTAATCACGCGCACCATACACATACTTTTTTTTCTCGAATCTTCGGATCACGTGCGTACCGAACCGTGGAGTGGGATCGGTTTGGATTTCGGATCAACCGTGATCCGTTGCACCACTAGCATTTACTGTCGTGAGTGTGGAAAGACCATGCCTGGCAATTCTGTATTCGTGACTCTTAATTGAAACGCTGAAAAAGCACAGTGTATCCAGAAAACAATTACCGTATATGTTGTGATAAATGCATTGTCCAAGTGCCCCAACTCCCCACTGCCTTTCAGTGGCAGGCAGCAGCAAGCAGGTTGTCGGAGGAGGCCGATGTGGTGACTAAGTTTAACATTGTCTACAATATTACCTAAAACTGCCAAAGCAGTTTAAGCATAAGCACTTTTTCAGTAACATATCTTTCTTGTAGAGCAGTGTTCCAAATAAAGAACTTTGTGTTGACAAGATTGTTAGTTAATCATTTACAAATCAATGTTGTCTGTAAGCACAGCAATTTAAAGAAAAAGTCACAGTTAAAACTGCGGTGTTCAACGATGTGGTTGAAAAATTGTGGTGCACCTAAGAAAAAAAGTTAGGCACACCAGGGCAACCTTGGCAAAAAGTTAGTCTAGAGTCTTCCTGTTAAAGAGCCAAGAGCCTTTCTTTCCACTTCCTCCATGTAAAGTTTGGCTACAATGGGACACACTGGGGAGCTCACAGCACATCCATGTTTGTGTCTGTAGAAACCCTCGTTGTATTTAAAATATGTGGTGGTAAGGCAGAGGTCTAACAGTGTGCAGACCTGATCAGGGTGAAGCTGGTTCTGGTTTTAAGGAGCTGTCTTGATGTAGTTGTTTCCTGACAGTCTCCACTGCCTCGGTTGGAGGTATACAAGTGAAAAGTGAGACCACATCAAAGGACACTCTGGTTTCATCTGGATCAAGTGTAAGTTTGTGGACCTTGTTGGTGAAGTCAGCAGAGTTTTTGATGTGATGGGGTGTGTTCCCCACAAGGGGAGCTAGGATGGTGATGAGGTGCTTGGAAATGTTGTAGGTGGCTGAGTTTATGCTGCTACCAATGAGCCTGAGTGGGACTCCTTCTTTGTGTGTCTATGGAAGTTCATATATACAGGGTGCAGCATCCCCTGGGTAAAGGTGGTGGTATGCAGGGAGCTCAGTGGCTTTTTTCAAGTTCTTGTTGCAGCTGATGACTTTCTTTTTGTAGCTGCTTCTGGGGTTTCACCTTGAAGCTTCATAGGTATTGTTGTCACTGAGTGTAGTAATGTTTATTTGCTCTGCTTCTTCTTGTCAGGGATAAAATACATATCTATACTTTTGTGTCCCAGCTGAGTAACAGGAGGAGAAGAGTCTGGTGGAGCAGCAGAGGAACAGTTTCAGCCATTTGGACTCAGCTCAGCCACTACAGAGGAAACAATGACTTCAACGCAGGAGGTGAGAAAAGTATGACAGTTACACTGTTATTGAAACTGTGTGCACAGCTGGTGTTTGTTGACATCTTTGATTCCACTAATGGAGTCAGTTTCAGTTTGTTCCACGACTGCATTTCACTCACTGCCTCTATTTGTATCTCTGTCACTGCAGGACCAACATGGAGCGAGAAGTCAGCGCTCTCAGGAGGCCGACAAACCTCACCGAAGAACTGGAGAGAAAATATACAGCTGTGAAGAGTGTGGGAAGGATTTTACCCAGTCTGGGAGCTTAAAAACACACCAACTCATCCACAGTGGAGTTAAACCGTACAGGTGTGACTTGTGTGGAAAATGTTTTACCCAGAAAGGACACTTAAAAGCACACCAACTCATCCACAGCGGAGTTAAACCATATAGCTGTGAGTTGTGTGAAAAATCTTTTAACCAGCCTGGAAGCCTAAAAAGACACCAACTCATGCACCGTGGAGTTAAAGCATACAACTGTGAGTTGTGTGGAAAATATTTTAGTCAGAAAGGATATCTAAAAACACACAAACTAATTCACAGTGGAGTTAAAGCGTACAACTGTGAATTGTGTGGAAAGTCTTTTACCTATCCTAGAAGCTTAAAAACACACAAACTAATTCACAGTGGAATTAAACCATACAGCTGTGAGTTGTGTGGAAAGTCTTTTACCCAAGCTGAAAGCTTAAAAACACACAAACTCATCCACAGTGGAATTAAAGCATACAGCTGTGAGTTGTGTGGAAAGTCTTTTACCCAAGCTGGAAGCTTAAAAACACACCGAATCATCCACAGTGCAGTTAAAGCACACAGATGTGACTCGTGTGGAAAGTCTTTTACCCATTCTCAAAGCTTAAAAACACACAAACTCATCCACAGTGGAGTTAAAGCATACAGCTGTGAGTTGTGTGGAAAGTCTTTTACGTATCCTAGAAGCTTAAAAACACACAAAAACATCCACAGTGGAGTTAAACCATACAGCTGTAATCAGTGTGGTAAAACTTTTGCTCAAAGTAGCAACTTACAATGTCATCTAGTTACCCACTCTGGAATTAAGGCGTACAGCTGTGACATTTGTGGGAAAACTTTCAGCACGCCAGGGAACCGCAATGTTCACTTACGGATTCATACCGGACAGGATGTTTTCTGCTGTGATCAGTGTGGGAAACTGTTTACAACAGCCACACACTTACAAAGCCACATGCTTACCCACACTGAGGAGAGACCATATAAATGTGACCTGTGCAATAAGGCTTTTAAATCTCCACGTCACCTGAAACTCCACCAAGAGATCCACACCAGAAAGAAACTCTACAAGTGCAGTTACTGTGAGGTATGTATTTATCTTTTAATTTTAGCCTGACTGTTTGGAACTACTCTGCTCATTCAATTTGTTAACTTTCTGTAATAACTCCTTAGTAATTCTACTGCATATAAAAGCAGTGCTTATTGGATTTTAGTCTCAGCTATTATTTATTTCTTCCATAGTCATAAAACCAGTAAGTAATAACTCTTCTGTAGTCACAATCTCCCCATTCTCCGATAGTTAAGACTGCTACAATTTGGCCAGTGTTAGATGACTTATTATCTTCTTTACTAAAATGGTAAATGGCCTGTATTTATATAGCGCTTTTACTAGTCCCTAAGGACCCCAAAGCGCTTTACATATCCAGTCATCCACCCATTCACACACACATTCACACACTGGTGATGGCAAGCTACATTGTAGCCACAGCCACCCTGGGGCGCACTGACAGAGGCGAGGCTGCCGAACACTGGCACCACCGGGCCCTCTGACCACCACCAGTAGGCAACGGGTGAAGTGTCTTGCCCAAGGACACAACGACCGAGACTGTCCAAGCTGGGGCTCGAACCGGCAACCTTACGATTACAAGGCGAACTCCCAACTCTTGAGCCACGATTGCCCCAAACTAACCACACTAACTAAAATCAGTTATTGTTGCTTTAAATTGGGAGTGAGACCGATTTGGTTGCAACTTTTCATGTGTATTTATGAAGAACATGATATAACTTTTTGCTTAGATACAGTTGTTTTTGTTTTAAATAAACTGGATGCAAAAATGAAGAATTACTTTAACCTGCATGTCCTGAACCAGAAGCTGGTCTTGAGTCTCTCTGTTCTTGACTGGATGGCGTGGAGCAACGGTTTGTTGCTGGGATGGACTGGGTCCTTCAGTGTCTGAGCTGCTCTGGACCAGCATCTCCTGGTGTAAATGTCCTGTAGGGAGAGGAGAGGAGTCCTTCAACAGCAATCTAATATATAAATCTGCCATCCTTAGTACAGCCGTTCCCATACCAGGATGAGATGCTCTGTGTGAGGATGCTCTCCACAGGGGCTGAATCGAAAGTTCTGAGGATCGCTGGACAGACACCGAACTTCCTCAGTTGTCAGAAGTTGTACAGGCGCTGGCTAGCCTTTTTGTATGTGGGCAGACAATGTCATATCTGAGGAGATGTGGACACTGGGATACTTACACCAACCTCCTTGATGTTGCAGACGTTCAGCTGGATGTGGTTATCCTAACACCACAATGACAGATTCTTCATTTCCTCCATGTAGGCCGCCTCATCGTTGTTGGAGATGGCACCCAACACCACTGTGTCGTCAGTAGATCACAATGGTATTGGAGCTATGAGTGGCCACGCAGTCTGGAGTATAGACAGAGTAGAGCAGTGGCGAGAGAACACACCCCTGTGTTCTCTCGCCACTGCTCTACTCACATAGTTACCCTGTTTCCTGTCCACATGGCTGAGAGTGGTGTGCAGGATATGGACGATGACGTCCTCTGTGGATCTGTTGGGTTGGTAAGCAAAGTGGAGTGGATCTGTGGTATTTGTGGTGGAGAAGGAGATGATGTTTTTCCGCAGCCTCTCAAACACCTTCATTACCACCAAAGTCAGTGAAACTGGCCGGTAGTCATTCAGGCATGAGGGCTTGTTGTTCTTGGGCGCAGGGATGATTGTGGATCTCTTGAAGCATGTGGGGGCCACAGACTTTGCCAGGGACTCACTGAAAATGGAAGTGAGCTTACTTGCTAGCTGGTCCACAGAACAGACACAGCAGATGGCCGGTGATGCTATCTGGCTTAGCCGCTTTCCTTGTGTTCACTCTCAGCGACGCGTGGACGGCGTGCTTTACGATACGGATCACCGGTCCCTTGCCGTTGACGTCACCGTCCTCTGTTGTAAGGCAGTAGTTAGCATTAACCACCTGGCTAACCTCGAAACTGGTGTAGAACGCGTTCAGCTCATTGGTAAATGCAGAGTCTGCATTGATCGGCGCAGTGTCTCTGGCTTTGTAATCTGTGATGGTGCTTAATCCCTTCCACATGCTACCCAATTTCGCTGTGCAAGAAACTGCACAATGACAATAAAAGTTCTAAAAATGTTGAAGGAATTCCCCGACTTACACTGTCTTTGTGTTTTTGTTTAGAAGCAGAGCGACACAGATGGATCCAGTTCTCGACCCTGTTGTCACTGTGGTGGTGGGAAAGACTTTCGTTGTGACCTTTGTGGAAAAACTTTCATTCGGCAACAAAGCCTAAAAATACATCAGCGTAGACACACTGGAGACAAAATGAACTACTGCAAAGAATGTGGGAGAGGCTTCCCCACATCAAGTGCATTAAAAAAGCATGTACTCATTCACAGTGGAGTCAAAAAGTACGTCTGTGACCAGTGTGGCTCATCCTTCACCACTGCAGGTGAGCTTAAAGTGCATAAACGAGTCCACACAGGAGAGAAACCATACAAGTGCAGACACTGTGACAGAAGCTTCTCACGATCGAGCAGTCATAACCTTCATGAACGTACACACATGGAAGAGAACTTCAGCTGTGACCAATGGCATCAGCGTGATCATGCAGGACTGAAATCACCGGATCACAATGATTCTGCAGAGACAGAAAGATCCTCTTCTGGTTTCAGGGTCAGACTTAAAAACCTTGAGATCAGGCTCCACAGAGTTCATCTAGAGTCTCCTGTAAAGAGTGCAGCTGATGTCACACTTGGATGTTATGAGGTAGCTCTGATTTCTGGACCGGCAGTGAATAATCCTGGATCTTAAATTTGGGAATCTGCAAGCATAGACATGAAAATCAAGGTTTTCTCCCCTGAGGGATTTAATGCTCTAAATTTCTATCCCTGTTAAATGTTAATCTTTTTTCAATTAAAACACAATAGTGTTTAGTAGTTGTACTTTTTAAAGTAATATAAACGCTATGTGAATATGTTTTTTGTTTTTAGCCAAACTTATATTGTACCAAATATCAGTGTATGGCTATATACATCCGTTTCTTTCATTTCAACTTTCTTAGTTTTTTTTTTAATAAACTTGTTTTTCATCTATTTATCTTATGTGTTACCTCAGTTAAATTTGAATGGTTTTTCATATTTAAACTTGTGCTTTGGTAATCCCTGTTCTTAAATCCATTTCTTTCAAAACTCCAAATCATTTCACACCAGTTCCTGCAGTGACTAGTACAGGATTTTACATTTAAAAGCTGCAAAGTATTTTCTCCCTTCCTGATTTTTATGTGCGTTACAATTAAGTGCTTTAGTTCATTAAACAGACTTTGAAAAACAAAATGTTTGTATGTATTAAGGGAAATAAATATAGCCAAGCAGTCTGAATAAATCATAAATGCCAAAGCCTATCTTAGGGGTAGTATTAGTTCATATACCACAATGCAGAAAAAGGCATCAACTTGATTATGAAGCAGTTCTAAGTGAACGTGTACTCATCAGAGTGTAGTAATACAGATAGGAAGATGGCAGGATTTTTAGATAAGCACTTTTTGTATCGTTATCAGAGAATCCAAGGGAAGCATTAAATACCCCAGTGACTGAGGAGGAAGTGCCACTTGCTATCAGTTCTTTTAAAGGAGGAAAAGCATCAGCACTTGTTGGTTTCTGCTCAGAATTTTATTAAAAAACTACATCATCTTCTTGCCAGATCATTGACGGATATTTTTTTAGACTTTTTTAAGAATGAATGTCTTTCCCCAACACTTAGACAGGCTAATATTTCGTTAATTTTAAATAAAAATTAATCACCAGATAGGTTTGGATCATATAGGCGGATCAGCCTCATCAATGTCGATTCTAAATTACTCTCTAAGCTATTAGCGATGAGACTGGGGGGCATTCTCCCATTGCTTATAAACCCTGATCAAACAGCTTTGTCCACAATCATTTCTCATTTATAAATATTAGACGATTGTTAAATATTATACAATATTCGAATCAGACAAAATATATGGCTTATGTTATATCTTTAGATTCTGAAAAGGCATTTGACGGAATCGAGTGGACATGCTTTTCTTTACCGTATTACAAAGATTTGACTTAGGCAAGGGTTTTATTGGATGGATTAAAACTCTACAAACCTCAGCAAGCCTATGTTATAACAAATGGTGTACAATTATCAGCCTTCCTGATCGTTGGGGCGATCGGGAAGGCAAACTCCCAACTCTGGCGGCTCAAGAGTTGGGAGTTCGCCTTGTAATCGGAAGGTTGCCGGTTCGAGCCCCGGCTTGGACAATCTCGGTCGTTGTGTCCTTGGGCAAGACACTTCACCCGTTGCCTACTGGTGGTGGTCAGAGGGCCCGGTGGCGCCAGTGTCCGGCAGCCTCGCCTGTGTCAGTGCGCTGTGGCTGTGGCTTGCCATCACCAGTGTGTGAATGGGTGGATGACTGAATGTGTAAAGCGCTTTGGGGTCCTTAGGAACTAGTAAAGCGCTATACAAATACAGGCCATTTACCATTTCCCACTCCAAAAGAGATATGAGGCATCTTTGCATTAGCACTTGAACCTCTGCTGAGGCCATTCGCCAAGATACGCATGGCATAACAGTGGGTGGAGCAAATCATAAAACTGGATTGTATGCTGTCGATATTTTGTTGTTCTTATTAAAACCAGAACTATCAATATCAGACATTATGTCTATTATATGTAAGTTCAGCTGGTTCTCTGATTCCAGAATTAATTTAGGGAATTCAGAGGTTATGCCGCTGGGTGATCAGGTTAACTCTCTGACAGATATTTGCAATTTTCAATGGTCCTCTTGCGGTCTCACATACCTTGGGCTAAAAATTCTTAAAGACCGATGGAAACTGAACTTGTCCCCAGTTCTCATTGGGGGGGAAAAAAAAAAAGATTTGGACAGATGGCAAAGTTTGCTGCTTTCTCTTTAGGAGCCATGTGAGCCTAATTAAAATCAACATTCTCCCTTGTTTGTTATATCCAGTACAAATGTATGGGCTCAAATTGTGGTCGTAAGTATTTTGTACTTGTAAAAAGAATTTGTGTGTA